TCCTTTCCTCGTCACTGTTAAGATACAGTAAAGATTATATATCTTCTTGGCTGTTTGGTGGATAACTGGAAATTGAAAAAGGATTTTGGGAATCTACTCTGTCAGATAATAGGAAATATGCCGTGTCCCTAATAATTGTCTATAGCCCTGCATTCCTGATAACAGGGAACATGCTCTAATACCTCTAGTATTTTTCCACTGTTCCAGGATTTTTGTTGATTTCTTTTTTTTTTCTCCTGCTGGATGTCAAGACCTGTGCTTTTTTTCTCCTTTTACGGATAAAGCCTGCAGTGCTCGCTGAGGCATAGCAAGGAAAGGTTGTGGGTGCTGATGCAAGGGTGGACATGAAGAGAATGTGCTGAGTTTTTGTTCAGGAAAAGGATAGTAGAGAAAGAAAAAGATTGTCCATAGACAATATAAGGGGATCTTGAAAAATATAATTTTTAGTAATTTTATAGCTTGGAAAAGGTGCAAGGTTCTGTGCCTAATCAAATGTACTAGCAAGAGCCACGAACTTGCATTTTTGCTGCACAATGACAGCAAAAAAAGTCAGACTGTTGAGGTCAGACTGTGGAAAACCAAGAGGTCTTGGGGCTTGAACTTAGTGTGTCTCAGTAAGAAATGAGAAACTTAAAAAAAACACTTTGGCTGAATTTTGAGCTGTAAATCAATGTCTAGTTGTAAACCAGTATTTATCCAGCAGTATCTGTTGAAGAAGTGGGCAGACATGCCTGTGATGGCCTGTCCTGTGAACCTTATAGATGCAAAGCATCATGTTGGTGTGTGAAGAAGTGGAAACTGTTGTGGGAGACTTCCTAAAATGTACAAGTGCATCCACAAAGATGAGCCTGTTTGATTGGTCTGCACATGTTACTGAAAGAGATGAAAAAGGACTTTATGGAACTGAAGCAATAGGGGAAAGGAACAGAAGGTGAAATCCAAGAGGATTGTGCCTCTTGTACAACCCAGCATCTTGACAAATTAACTCTTCCCTGTTGATGGTGATTCATCCTTTTTCTGCAGTCCTCTTATTAGATCATTGAGAATTGCTTACATCTCTCGGTTTTCAAGATTTATATTTTCAGTATGCCTTGTGTACAGGGAATCTTGGAAATCTCCTAGTAGGAATATCTTGCCAATTAAACTGGGAAAAAGGGTATCGAGACCACTCATTTTTTTACTTTTGTAGTGCTAATTGTGTAATCATTCCCTTTTATACTTGGAATTTTATGTAAGGGTAGAGTACATACGATGCTTGTCTTAAGAAGATAATAATGATGATAATAATAATAATTTAATAAGAAAATAATTAATTTTTCAAGTAGTCATATCCTTTTAAGGACACGGAAAACAAGGCCTTGAATTGAGTACTTTGAATTTTTTTCTTAAACCAGGATTCTTTGTCTTACCAACAGAGGCAGTTAAGCAACCTCTAAAATGTTGTGGTTGTACTTAATAACATCAGAAGAAGGGAAGAGAAAAACCAGACTGGACTGAAAGCAAGCAGGTATTAGATGTGGAAGGCGCAACAACCTGTGTAGTGACTGACATGGGTCCAATACTTGTTCACGTTGTGCTGCTGTAGGAGAGATGTGCCAGGTGCCTTGGGTGGCTCACAGTGTTCAACCATGCAATTTATCTTCAGGGATAATACTTCCTGTAAATGTTTTGGACTTTTGAAAAGTCCTTGTACAAGACATTCTAGCATAATTGTGAAATAGTTGTTGAATCTGTCATACTGAATTATCTGTACTCATCTCTTAAATTCTAAATTAATAACAATACTGTGGTAGAGAACAGCTGTTGCGGGATTTTTTCCTGCCTGTGAAAGAAGCCTTATTTGACCTTTACAGAAAAGCTGAGGTCCATTGGTACCTGTCAGAGATGTTAGATCATCCTGTTCTTGTTGTTCTTGATTTACACTTGCTTCTTTTACATAGCTACAAATATAGTAATCAAATGGAAAGTTCAGAATAAGTAAAAAATATTCACCTTCCAGTGAGATTTAAGTATGGAGAATGGGTTCCTCAAACTTCTAGTAGCGAAAGATTTCTTCAGTTGCAAGGTGTGGGCATGTTCTTGTGTGTGAAAAAACTTAGTAAGTTTCCTGATTCTTCTGCTACTTCTTGCTGCCTCTGCCTTGATAGTAGACACCTTGGGGAAGTTATGAGTGTCTGACCACTGAGAGATTGATGTCATGGAGTCCTATTTTTAACTGAATTTTTCTACCTTGCTATTCCTTACAGAACGTTTCGACCAATATTGGGCCTGTTCAGCCCTTCCGCCTTCATGAACAGAATTAGGGATGTATTTTTGCATAGTCTCATACAGTTGTTTTTTTAATTAGTATTATTGTATTGTGTTTTGTAATACTGTAAACGTTTCACCATTCCTGAGGATTAATCTACAACCTCCCTGCAGGAGATGAGCGATTCAAAAACTAGGTAATACATACTAAAGACATTTCAACCCAAATGGATTGGGTTGATTGCAAGGTGAAGGGTAATAATATTTCATTCAGGAAAACATCAGTGGATTGGCAGTGTTGCTGTGCTTGAGTATGTTAATGCTTTCCAGGCTCTCTGCTACCTCTTGGTGACCTTGCTTTGATGCTTGAGGTCTGAAGTTGCACTTACCACAGTAATTGATTGCTTGCTAGTAACCAGAGTGATTAATGTCAGAGTCATCTGTGTATGTTGGAGAAGGGGACTCAGGAAAGTGACTTGCTGTGTGTGATTGATGGGCTCTGTGGCATCCTTGGCAATGCTTGTTCCTTGGCAATGCAGGTGCTGTCACCTCGTTTTCGATTTGCTTCAGTCAGACAACTGCTATTAGATTCACTTTCGTGATGCCCAGTTAGTGTTTTGCCTTTCCAGTTAGTTCTGAGTTTACAGGATAAACAGTAGACTGAAAATGTTTGCATTCCTTATTGCATGGCTATTCCAGCTATTTTAATACCATTCCAGTCTCTGTACACAAAATCCCATGTGCCTTCCTGAAAGGTTACAGAATTAATCAAGTCAGCAAAGTGGTCAGTGCAAAGCCTCAAAATAAAGCAGAAATTCTGTTACCTGTAACATTCTATAAGAGACAATGAAATTAACATTCTTAAATAGAATATGGCAAGCAGTTGTCAAAGCTTGAAGGTATTACTGTATTTTTATGCCAAGTTCTTACTGTTAGAAAGATAACCTGATTGCCGTGATGATGAACGTATCAGATAAACAGCAAGCAAAAGGATGAAGTGCAGACTTGATCAAGATACAGTGGAACATAAATATCTTTAGCTGTTGAAAAATTAGAAATTTAGCTAAAATAATGAGATTCCTAAGGATATATAAAACCAGCCTTCTCATTTGGGGCTTTTAGAATGTACATTTAAAAACAATTTTCCTATAAGACATAGGATTGTGAGTCACTCATCTATTCTATAAAAAGAGAGAGAACACAAGCAGAAGGAAATGGGACATGCATTTTTAGAGACTGATTCTGCCTTCCTTTTTGTTTATATGTCAGCTGGATTTTCAAGTAATAACAATTCCTGTATTTGTGGTCTTAAAGCAGATGCTAAATATTGCAAGAATTGCGATGAACTCTGGCAGCTGAGTTTTGTATTTAGATTTTAAAATAGTGTGCATATGAAAAAGCTATGTAATTTCTAAATTTCATGTGGTATGTACTGCATGGAGAAGTAGAACTAGCTGAATCTGTTTACAGAGTATTCAGAGTGATGTATTCCACATTGATATAGTTCCATGGGAGATGCTCTTCAGTTTCAGATTGGATTTGCTCATTGTGCTTTCAGTGCTAGACTGTTTTGGGTATTGTTTTGGCAGCATGTACTGACACTTGCTGGAGCGTGTCAGCAGTTTGGCACTAGGCTGCTGGGGAAAAGACTTTGTGGAGCTGGATCATTTCAAGGCTTCAGTGCTTAAGCAGTCATTTCACTTCTGATATGAAATGGGTTACGTGACTGGAGTACTGTTCAAGTTCTTATGTTACTGGAGTGTACTGCGTAAACATATCTAATTTTGGTGTAAATGTTCAGTGTTGTAGTCTTGCTTCTTATTGACTGTAAAGTCAGCAGTTTGTAAGTGTCAATAAACTTTTCAGAGAATGAAGAACTCTGCCAGGATTCAGATTCGACCAGCAAGCAGGGATTACGTTTTTTTTAATCAAGAACTTTATGCAAAAGCACATTTCCTCCCATTAACCTCTACTATTTCAACTTCTAAGAAAACATACTTAATTTTGACTTTAAAACTGTGTTATTTAGGTATCAGCAGTGTAGATGTTTTGTCAGGAATATTATAAAGATTTCGATTTTAATCCCACTTTGACTTTTATTGAGGAAAAAATGTGCACTGGGAAAACACTACACCTGTCAAGTGCTCTTTAAAATACTTGTTGCTATTTTAAAACAAAAACCCTTCTACAAAGTTATTTGCGTGGTCACTTGTGTAACTCAGGAAGCTAGTACTAGTGTGAAGATTTCAGGAAGAACATCAAAGTATTCTTCATTAATTTTTCTTGGGGTAGGAGTGAGCTATGTGCTTTCTGCAGAAAAAAAAATTAAGAAAAAAAATTCCATTATATCTTCTATAAATTGACAGCACATAAACTTCAGATTTTTTTAAACTCAGTGTCTATAAGGAAAATTGAATAAACTGTTTCCTGTAATTAGGATCAAAGGTTTCTGGGGAGCTGAGAGGTAACGGTGTGTATATGTTGTGGATTTGCTCACTTTGATAGAAATTTGATTCTTGTTTTCTTTTTATGTGTGTTTTTTTTTTTTTCCCTTTAATGGCATTCTCTGTTCAGTGGTAAAGAAATTATTACTCAAAATTTATGTGGCAACCCAGTAGTTGAGATAATTTGGTATCTCATTACAATTTTGTAGAGTAAGCAGGTTTTGATAAAACCCTAAGATTTAATTATTTTTAGCTTGAAAAATAAACCGTATGTGTATTCTCATTAACATTTAAAAAATATTATTCCAGCTGCGTTGGGGTAGAGGAGCACCATGCTGTTGACATTGATCTATACCATTGTCCCAACTGTGCAATTCTCCATGGACCTTCTCAAAGTAAGTATGGCTTATTCAAATTTCATTTTACACATTCAGACTGTTTTCTCTCCGTGTACAATTGAAAAAGACCGTTCAGAAGAATATTCAAGATGAGTTTGATTATTTAGAAGGTACTGGTTCTACATGACTAACTCTGAGCTGATTAAAAACCCACAAAATAAACAAACCCATCCTGAGAGGTTCCCTGATGTGGAGATGCAGATGGAATAAAATATAAGCCACTGCTATAGATTAGAGAAATGGAAGTGCACAGAGCTAGAAAAAAACAATCTGGACTAGGCAGAGAGTGAGAGAATAAAAATTAGGGAATCGTAATTAAAAAAAAAAAAAAAAAAAAAAAAAAAAAAAAAAAAAAAAAAAAAAAAAAAAAAAAAAAAAAAAAAAAAAAAAAATAAAAGGAAAATGCAACAAATGGCTTCAAGGTTCCTACATTTTACTTATCAAAAATATAATACCATGGAAGGCAACTTTGAAAAAATGTAGGAATTAGGTGTCTTACCTTTCTTGATGGTTGTAGGCTATGCCACAACACTCTATTGAAATGCAAGAATATGAATATCCTGTGAGCCATGTTTGGTTGGTTGGTTTTTGGGATTTTTGTTTGTTTTTGCTTTTTTTGTCTTCCCCCCCCCCCCTCCCCCTTTATGTCCTTGCAAGTTACATAGCTCCAGTTATTGGGTTTCTGATTTATAAACAAGTTTCCGCCAAGGTCAAAATGAGTTGCTAGAAAAGTGTGAAACAGAGCAGCAAGAGACATCTCTGGTTCTCCTTTCAGTAGACAAATTTGGTATAGAGATCTGCACTGGAAAAACAGAACAGTTTTTGTCTGTCTGTAACTACTGAAAGGATACTGCTTTATCCAACTCCCTGGATTTTCCTCCATGACTTCTGTTCTAAAATGGAATTGTAAAAAATGTAAAAATAAATTTCAGTTTTCCAACAATGAATTAAATGTCTATGTTCAGATCAGAAAAATACATATATGCAGTGCGTGCCTTTAACCTCCAAACAGTCATGGTCATTTGTGTTTTCTAATGTGGGGTTGTTTGTGTTTTAGTTTGGTGGTTTTTTTTTTCCTTGAAGGCCATATAATGATTTACAGTCAACAGTGGCCTAAGACCTAGAATATTTTTCAAAGCTGAATTTACTTTACATTTAGAAATAGCTTTTAAAACTGCTGCACCCTCAGTGGTCGTCTTATGGAATATGAACAAAATGTTAAAGTGTCAGGTTTTGATGTAGTTAGTATGTGTTGCATGATATGTATCTTGTGTAATATGTGAGTTCAGAGTCTGTCTGAACTGAAAGGTAAGATTTTTTTATGTGCTTGTAGTTTTTAGTACTCCAGTGGTCATTTTCAGTTAAAAATCTGCTTATGTCTCTTATAAATCAGAACACAAACAACAGCTATTTCTTTCCCCACCTTTCTGTCTCTTTTTCCCTGTGGAAGAGAGGGACTAGGAGGAGGAGTAGAAGAGGGATCATATTAGACTTTCAGAATAATAAACTACTAAATTTGAAACTTCTTTTCACTCCTTGACTTAAGAGAACTAGTATGCTTCATGCTGATACCTGTGAATAACCTTTCTTGTAATGCAGAATTTGCCAGATCTACTGCAAGCGCTCAGTCACCTTTAGTACTTTGACAGTGAGCTAAGAGTGATTTTTATTTTACAAGTTTTTCCAGGAAGACAAGAATCTGTGGTTAAAATTATCCTTATTACATTATATTGCTTCAAGTGTGTAGATCATCTAGATTTAGTACAAGCTTCAGACATGTCACTTACCAACCCAAGCAGAGGTGATATAATGAAATATGTCTTCATAAGGAATGTTATTAATTGTTCTCAGCTGTCAGAATCAAATCTATGATAGTTTGTGGTTTGGGCTCTATTTACTTTAGTGTTTAGAGAGACTGATTAAGTCTCATGACTTCAAGTGTGGCAGCAACGTTCCAGAGTGCTTCAGTCATATGAAATTATGTATGTCAGTAAAAAAACCCATTTTTATTTACAGCTTTGTATTCTAAAATCACTTTGTCTTAGAGTTTTGAAAGGGACAAAAATTCATCTTTGTGAGAGGGCAAGTATATCTGTGATTTCAACAGACATTAGTATGCTTAATCAAATAAGGTAATGCAAAAAAAATACTTAAAATATGCAGGAAACACATACTTTATGGTACAAATGAGGGGTTACCTACAAAATTAATTATGTCAAAGTTCCAATAATGAAAAGAAAGCTACTGCATAGTTAGATGGAAAGATCAAATGAACTGATCAGTTTCTTCATGCATTTCAAACAAAAAATACTCTTCTTGATTTGATAGAAGTTTTATAAGACCCTTAGTAAGCAACTGTGTATGTAAAATGCTAAATAATTAATCCTAAAATCCTAAACCATTAAAAAAGAACAATTTAAAAAAAATATACTATGGAGAGGTTTTTTTTTTTTTAAGTCTTCTCAATGATCCTAAAGTCTGAAAATACTCTGTTTGCATAAATGCTGTGAGTCAGATCTGCAACCAGACTCTCGTATCCAGAGCTTTGAGAGAACACAAGGTGCAGTGAATGTTAAGAGGACTGTGTTTGTCAGGACATAGCTTTTTAATCAGTTTTTTTGTTTCTCAAATTCTGAAAATATGCTCCAACCTGTATTTTTTTTGCCTGTGATAGTAGTGTCTGTACTTGGTCTGAGCTGACAATATGAGATGGTGTCTCAGGCCTTAGCAGTGTATTCTATGGTATGCTCCTTGGAATTTTTCGTTCTTCCCATTTCGTTCTTGCCTTTTTGGTCACTGGGAATCACCTGGAGTACCATTTCCAAGACTTGGGGCCTCACTGTAGGGTTGTTCACCTCTTGATGGTCCCCATTTGAAGTCTGCCATGTGGTGGTCTGTCAGGCAAACAGTCCAGCAGTGTGAGAAGGCAGGGAATAGAATCTGCCTGAGTAGGTACAGTTATTGGCCTATTGTTTTGAGTATTTTTCGTTAAAACTTCCAGCACACTCCTTTGCTTTTCTTACCCTCCCTGCAGCTGTCTAGTGTACTTTCAGTGTGTGTACTTTTAGTGTTGTCACAGTGAGTTTTACCTCAATTTTCAGGGACACCAAGGGTGAACACTGGTTCCTTCCACTAGTTTGGAGTGATTGGGAGGGGAGGTGTTATATGTCCATTTCAACTTATGTAGGGTTTATTTGTTGGTTTTAGTTTGAGCATTAGGATCCATTAGGTTAAATCTATTTTTTCTTTCTTGCAACTGTTACTGTAATGTCTTAAGGGGTTAAAAAATGCTCTAGAATTAAGAGATATGTAAGCAGAGAAAATTTTCATTATTATTTTCAGTTCTTCAGTGTTCTCTTAGTTATGAAAGGCTGATGTACATTGCCAAGTACAAGTAAAAGAATTACCTTAGTTCCTGATTTTTAAGTGTTGGAAAGACAGACTTTGGAAAGTCTGTGGTATAAAATCTCTTAAGCAGCTGTATCATCTTACAATTTTAATGAGCTGTTGTAACAGCAGTGAATTTATGGGAAACTACTCTATTGCAAATTAGTATTAGCTACTAATTTCTTGTATTATTATTTATGACTGAGAAAATAGCTTTGAAAACTTAATAAACCTAGCTTCATTATTTATGAAGTTTTACAGTGTTTGGATAGTTGGCTCATTAAGCAGCACTGGTTTTCAGTTTAGCAAAGAGCTATAAATGTCAGTTTATTCTCTTAAATGTCTTCTAAAGGGTACGTGTTGTCATGTCTGCAGGAAACAGCTCATCAATAGGAATAATTACCTCTTATGTGTAATGACTATATGATGCCCGTTATTCCTATACAACCAATTGTTTTTTCTGGCAAAGCACCAATTTTTTTTCTTTTTAGAAACTATTGTCTCCCCTCGTACATCCTTAGCTTCCTATTACAGTTTTCAGTATTGCTAGCAATTTTTTAGATTCTTAGGAGCATCACGACTTATGTAAACTTAAGAATGAGCTGTTCCATAAAGTTAAATTTTTTATTAGTGCAATTCTTTGTCTGGGTGTCATGTTTACATTGCAGGCTGTTTGATAGACACCTGTAAAACACTTTCTGTGTTGGCAAATAACAGTAATTTTTCCCTCTTGTGAGTTTCCTCAGCCTCTGTACCTAAATTTCTGCTTAATATTAGCGGTGAAGTTATAAATCTGGTGTTAGTAAATCAGCTTTGGACAGTCCTCCAGTAGCAACTGTTTAGCTGTGAAGCAGATTTTGACCTTTTTAAGAAAATCTGAAATGCAACCTTAAAATGTCTATCCTCTTAGTATGTTTCTTAGTGTTGTAAGTGATAGGCTGACAAGTAAATAGAAAGGTAAGAAGTTCAGCACTCCTGGAGATTCTTTCCAAGATTGAGATGGTGATCCTTTTTTTTGCCGAGGCAACCTCTTTGGTGATTTAATAAGGCTTCTCAGCTTGTTGAAGGCTTGAGAATGCTTGAGAATGAGAGATGCAGGTTTGTTTGCAGAGAGAGGAAGTGCTCCAGAGAGCAGTTTGCTGACAAATAGGTGATATAACCAAGGACTTCCTCTCAAAGCTGTAAGCTTGTGTTCTTTATAAATGAAGGTGCAAAATGAGTGGTTGATGAAGATGAATATATGAAATATCCATTAGGAAATGATTTGTCATGAAATAATGAAAACTTGAAGACGGGCTTTAAGTTCACTGCAATATCATTGGTCACTTTGTCCTCTGCTTCACTCAAGGTCAAAAAATTCAAATGGGGAGGCTGCATACAGCTTACAACGTTTTATAGTACAACCTTCAAATATAGAAAGGGCGCTTATAAGAAATAAGGCAACTTTTTACAGAGACCTGTAGTGAAATGACAAGGTCACCCATCATCACCCCTTGTCACCCCTGGCTTTAAACTGAAAGAAGGTAGATTTGGATTAGATATAAAGAAGAAATTCTTTAGTGTAAGGGTGGTGGCACAGGTTGCCCAGAGATAGGGTAAATGCCATGTCCTGGAAGTGATCAAGACCAGACTGAACGGGGCTTTGAGCAACCTGGTGTCCCTGTCCATAGCAGCGGGATTGGAACTAAATGATAAGTCCCTTCCAACCAAAACCATTTTATGAAAACATTTTTTTTTATTTTTCGTTTGGGTATCTCTCATTTGTCATGGGGAGATCAGTACAATAGTTTTTATGAGAATATCTAGTTTTTCAATTTCCTTGGCCCTTTAACTATGAAGAACTGTTAAAAATGCAGTTTTGTTGCTATTGAACTATCAGTTTCAGATTCCCAAAATTGTAATCAAACTTTATTTATCTTTTGTCTCATATTAATATGCTGTAAGAGTGCATTAAAGCTTTAAATCACTCAGAAGTTGTACAATTTGGGGCTCAATGATTGCATTATATATATTGCAAAAGTCATTCTTGCCCAAAACAGTTTGCACCCAACCCAACACTGTTATGGTGACATAAGCAGTGGATAAAAGAAACAGCACATGGTGGTGAATAGCAGTGATATTATCAGACTGGATATGGGCATGCTCGTAGGATGAGATAACACAGTGGGATTAGGTCTTGTTAATGTTGTGTGAATATTTGTAAAATGAAGTCTGTGGATATTCAAGAGGTGTGATTGTTCCATATATTAAAAAAAGTCCAAGGAATTTAGGAAATTAAAGTTGATTTTCTAGTTTCCTTGCTGATTTTGTAGATTTGGACAACTTTCAGGCTGCAACTGTTTATTTGTGTTGTGCTGGATATGGAGTCTTGAATTGTGTATAATGTGCACTGAGGTTTTCATACAGAAGGAGCTATAGAAGTAGGGAGAATTATTGTCAGGTGTCCTGCAGATTTCATTTGTTGAAAACGGGTAGAGTGTCACCTGATAAAAATAATAAGGTTTGTTCATCATAGTAATGTGATTGAGGCGTGTCTGGTTCACTGATGGGATGACTGCTAATCTGAGCCATCTGATTTAATTAATTCAAAGTTTAACCCTTCTGAAACTTGTAGTGAAGAAGAGGAGAAACTGGCACAGACATGACTACACGGAGCCGGATGACGGTTCCAGACCGGTGCAGGCTGGAACTCGGACCTTCGTTAAACAGCTGCGGGCGCGCTCTTTCCCAAGGTACGGACTCTCACACATTTGGGTGGAAAAAACGAAGAAAGGGTGTCAGCAGAGTCTTAGGGGAGGCACCCCAAAGGGTGTCTTAGGGGAGGCAACTAGCATTTCTCTGCTTCAAAAAATGAAGGTCGATGATATCTTCCTTCTCCGTTACAATTCCCCACGTCCTATCCCTGTTTCAGATGGATATATTTGCCTTTCCATGCAGTCGCCTCCACTGTTCAGTTTTGCACTGGGATATGTTGTCTGTTGGGACTGCTGCAGGGTGGTGTGAGAAGTTTTGAGCCTTAGGGGGTTGTTTTTGTGGGGGAGTGGGGGCAGTAGCATGACTAGTTTTGGATTTTCTTTACTGTGCTTCAACTATCATAATATTGTCTGTTCATGAATAGTTCTCAGTTTCATTCCAAATAACACAGAACATTCATATGTTCTGGTAGTCTGTCCATTCTCGTATGCTTTAGAGGAAAGAAGAGAAATGTTATACTTTCATCCTGATCTTGATTGGATATCTCACTGAAACATAATGGCTTATAGCTCTTTAGAAGAGCTGGTGGTGGTGGTTGTTGTTAGCAACATGTACTTTATTGCCTTCTCTGAGAATGCCTTTTCCCCATCCTTTCAGTTGTATAGAACGGCTGTGAGTTCCCAGCTTATGTGTGCAGTAAAAATTTCTTTGCTTGTTGAGTTTGTTTTCTTTGTCTTTTAGCTAAATGCTTAATATAATTGTACCGTTTCTGCTTTTGGATTCAAATATAGCCATTCCCATCCATCCTCCCCCAAACTGAGATTTCTTTTTCAGTAGTGCTTGGGGAATACTTTTCTGCTAATACTCCATAATTTCTTTCCACCAGTGCTGATGAAGTAATTTTGAAAATGCATGGAAGCCAGTTGACACAAAGATACCTGGAGAAACATGGGTTTGATGTTCCCATTATGGTTCCTAAGTTAGATGGTCTGGGACTCAGACTTCCTCCACCAACTTTCTCTGTTTTAGATGTGGAACGCTATGTAGGTAAGAGTCACTCTGAAGTACTTATTGAAATGATCCTGTCTGGAAATAAAATAAATGTTTGCATGATTATAAGAGCTTCCAGAGGGCTAAATATTTCTTGTAAATTCAAGAGTAGCAGAGAATACAGTTAAAGCTATGCTTTGGAGTTTTTTTCATTCTCTCTTTTGTTTTTGGTGTGTGTGCGTGTGTGTGTGTGTCTTTTTGGATATGTGATAGGCCTATAGCCTTCTCAGCTTTCAAATATGTTAATTTCAGTGCAAGCTATGTATGGAATACTGGATATTTTTCTGCTATGTGTTGTTAACCAATAAACAATAATGGGAATTGAATGAGTCACTCTTAGGATTAATACATTTAATCATTGGTTAGACTATGTCAAAACCTAATGTTTTAGACTCAGTAAATTGGCCTGTCTGAATTAAATCTTTCTTCTTGGAAAATTTCCTACCTTGACTTCCTTTAGCAGGAGAGCTGGAGCTTCCTAAGAACCATTTCTTACTTATCAGATCTCTTAACAGTCTGTAATTTTTTCAACCTCATGTAAGTGTGTAATACAGAAAAATAGAGACTGAGCCAATTGTGGCAGGACATTTCCTCTAACACATGGTACAGTTGAGAAGTCTGTGTATGGCCTTGTCTGTGTTCTTATGATCTCCTAATGTAATGATTTATGCTGAAAGTAGGTTTTCTGTCCATTAATATTTTACAAAGGCATCAGAATATGGAATGTTGTTACTGTTACAGTGTTAAACAGCAATGTGCATTCTGCTTTAAAGATTAATTACCACTGTGATGCTTCTGAATATTTTCTTTTGAATTATTTTCTATTCAGATAGAAACTTGATCATCTCACCTTTATGCATACATTTTGACCTGCCAGGTTGTCCAGTTTAGGGAAAAAGTTGGAATGTGACAAATTTACCTTTCTATTATTGAAATTAAGAATAAGAGAACTGAATAAATACTATTCCAACTGGAATTTCTCTAGATGATATAAACTTGCCATTTTAAAGTAATTATATATAGAATGTACATCTAGACATGTTCCAGCATTCCAAAATAAATTGTCAAATTTGCCCATTATGTAACTAAATGGGCATAAAACAATTGCTGTTATAATGTTGCTGTTAGTCTTTGTCTTTTCTAAAGGTTGCTTCTTGCTTGTGTAGTTCTCTAGATGTATCACTTCAAAATACATCGTGTGTACACCAGTCCTTGTTATCATCAGAAATGAAGTGCAGTTGTGATAATTATTAAATGAAATGACTGTGCTTGCAAATTGAGCACATATATAAGGAAGGTGGGGGGTTGTGATGATTTATAGGAAAAGTGAGGAGTAGATCTGCCTTTGATAACTTCCTCTATGCTAATCTTTCCAGTTGCAGCCATAGTGCCCCCCCCCTTTTTTTTTTTTTTTTTTAAGTGAGATGCAGTACTACTCTTACTTTTTGGCTAGCCACAGGAAAGAGGATTTATCTTCAGAGTGTTTTTTGGTTCTGTCCTTAGCTGATTAGAGTAATTAAAAAAACCTAATAAAAGGTTGGTTTATGCTGATCTGCCTCTGATCCAAGAGAATACTGATAGTAGAGGAGTATTTGTGCAGAAATGTTTTGATAAAGGCTGGAAAAAAAGTTAAATTTCTCTTAAACAAGTGAAGTTTTTTTAATCTGTCATAACCTTAAGAGAGTCATCCTGTTTCTCACAGGTGGTGACAAAGTGATAGATGTCATAGATGTAGCAAGACAAGCAGACAGCAAAATGAAGCTCCATAATTATATTAAATACTTCACAAATCCTGACCGACCCAAAGTATTGAATGTGATCAGCCTGGAATTCTCAGACACAAAGTGAGTATTGACTTCAATTCCTTGAACGTAGGAAGTGGTTTTCACTAAGCTAAACAATATGTGTAGGAGTATAATGCCTGTAGTGGGAAAGAGAGGAGGATGTGTATTTTATGTAGACAGCTACTGTGATGTAATGTGGCTATGAAACATATTACTTATGAACTAATAAATATCTTTATAGGAAACTGTCATTTAGAAAGACATGATTACCCCTGTTTATATTTACAGTTCTTTTTTGTTTGTTTGTTTTTAAAAAGGATGTCTGAATTAGTGGAAGTACCAGATATTGCCAGAAAGCTTTCGTGGGTGGAAAATTATTGGCCGGATGATTCTGTCTTCCCTAAGCCTTTTGTTCAGAAGTATTGCTTGATGGGTGTCCAGGACAGCTATACTGATTTTCATATCGATTTTGGAGGAACATCAGTTTGGTACCATGTTCTCTGGGTATGAATGTTTCTTGGTGTCCAGAATCACAGAATATGTTGAGTTGAAAGGGACCCACAAGGATCATCGAGTCCAGCCCTGAGCCCTGCACAGCACCATCCCCAAGAGTCACACCAAGTGCCTGAGAGTATCGTCCAAATGCTTCTTGAACTCTGTCAGGCTTGGTGCTGTGACCAATTCCCTGGGGAGCCTCTTCCAGTGCCCAACCACCCTCTGGGTGATTACAACTAGGCGAAACAAAATTCATTCAGCATGCAGCCTTCTGCTATGGCATTATCACCTGTGTGAAATTTTGTGGTTGAAAAACTCTGTTAGGAACTTGAAAGTGAATTACTGATCTTTGGTGTTGCATTTTTATGTTTTTGTTGTGGCATGCTATTGGTGACTTCTAGACTGTAATTGGTTGACTGATCACTTTAGTAGACTGGAAGGTGATATAGTGAGGTTTTGATAGGAATAAATAATTGAATGAAAAATGTTGACATTCTCAACTTTTTGTTCTTCTCACAAACTTTGACCATGTATATATCATAGAAGAGGCATGTTTTCTCATTTAATGTATGTGCATATTCCTAAATTCTTTATAAAAACCGGAATTTTTTACACTCCAGTGAAAAGTTTGGTTGGTTTCCTTTAAATCACAAGACATGAACTGGTTAGTGTACTATGTCTAAACTTTGTTGGATTACAGTTGTGAAACACTGGTGCTGGGAAGCCCAAACATGCCATGGTGGGAAGATGGAATACTTACAATTTAGATCAATCTGTTCCTTCATTAGGAGTGACTCAGAGGTTGTAGTATACCTCTAGGAGGACATTAATCTATTTACTTGATATTTCTGTCTTAATAGGGTGAGAAGATATTCTATTTGATCAAGCCCACTGATGAAAATTTGGCTCTTTATGAGTCTTGGAGTTCATCTGTCACCCAGAGTGAAGTATATTTTGGGGACAAGGTTGACAAGTGTTACAAATGTGTTGTGAAGCAAGGACACACTTTATTTGTTCCAACAGGTAAGGTTTTACTCTTGTTATTACTATTATTTACTCTTATTACTTAGCATGTTTAATCAACAGTAATTAAGAATATAATAAAATAAATGTGTTATCAACATTTGGTGTCCCCTAAAATTTTGAATAAGACAGAATAATAAAAAAAAATTTAGAGATTTAGATTTTCAAAACAGGTAATTGGCTATTAAGCTTCCATGACAGTCATAACAATTATCAGGGAATGAAAGAATGTTTGTTACCCAATTAGAAGACAACAAATTAAAGTTTAATTTGACTATCAGGGAAATAGTTCCAATTAATAGAGCACAGATTGTTCACTATTTGATAGGTATCCAGGCTGAATTCTTACCTTAATTTTATAATACCATTTTGTTTTGGCATATTTGAATATTGCAAGACCTACTAGGCATAATTATTACAAAAACATCACATAAACTTCTTATGCTGTAGGCTAGAGTATTAAAAATACAAGTTGGGTGTTCTTTTTGGTTTGGTTTTTTGTTGTGAGAAATGCCAAACAAATTAACTCCTTTATTAAAAAAAAAAAAACCAAAACCCACATAGAAAAATCCATCAAAGAAAATACCCCACCCCATTTAAACTCTCAAATAACATAAACTTACAAGTCTTTAATGAATCAAACCATATTTATTGCCAATAAAAGCGAGTGCCAGTTTTTTGTATTTTCACTCATCCAAACTATCCATATAAATACTTTTTATTATTTAATTATTAAAAATTGTCCTATGTGCTATCTTCTTTTTTTTTGGGGAAAAGAAAGCTTTAAATACACAGAGCAGGGAAATGGTTTATGATTCTACTTCTGGAATAAACCTTGAAGATTATGGTCAGTACCTTATTCTGTCATGCATTTCCTAGACTACTGCATTTTTCCCATTTCTCAGTTCTTAACCTGTGAGGTTCAATGTTTACTGTTCTAGTTCATAGCTTGTGCAGCATGGAGGACCTATCTGTGCCAGAGCTTTTAAACCTATATGTTTTTGGCAAGAAATGGCATTAATTCTCTCTGTTTGTAAGTATTAGTTCACACATCTATGAACAAAGAATGCAGAATTACAGAATGAAGAACAGAATGTGGCACACAGATCTTGGAAAATTGTCACTGCTTCCCAAGTAATTAGCTGAATCTGAGCTCTCACTGCAATGTGGCCATAAAGAAAAATATCTTCAGATTGTAATTTCTAATATGTACAGGTATCTGCATGTGCATACACATAAAATGGTACTTTTAAATGTAAATTGTGTATACACACATCCTTATTCATATACTCTGGAGAACCAGTAAATTAAACTAGTTTTCAAGGCAGGTGTTTAAGAAAATGGGAAATTCTGTAAGACTGAGTAAAGACTTTGAAAAAAACCCACCCTGATCTCTACTGAAAACCACTTTTACTGTTCCTGCTTGCACTGATGCTAGTGGATATCATAATTATTTCATAATCTCTGAAATATGTTCTGATTTAAAATTAATCTTGCATGTAGGTGAATAGCACTGGAAGGCTCTTTAGAGTTATTTAAATATTATTCAAGGTATTCTGTGTGGTCTACACTGAATTTTCTTTCTGTGTTACATGGACCTTGACCAAAACTGCAGCATAAAAATAGCAAGTAGATGAGTAAGAAAAAAAAAAAAAAGAAAACATTTAGTTGATACAGGTATGCCATAAAAATCCTTAGTGTTGATGCAACAGTGAGGTGGTTTTGTTGTCAGTTTTGTCAGTGTCTGGGGAGATGTGTGTTTAGACGGACTGAAACACAAACATCCCTTGGAGAGTCAAAGGTATTTGTCTACTGTGATGATGATGAGTGAAAATGAAACCATGTACAGAAGCTGCAGCTCTTGGGGTTAACCTGCAACAGTAACTCAACTTCCTTCCCGGCTACACAGTAGGTGTGTTGCTTCGGCAGTGTAACTTCAGTTTCAAGTCTTTTTACATATGATACCAGAACAACGAGAGCTGTTTGTTATTAACTGAATTGGGACATGGATTTAGTGGTAGTTTGTACTTAGTAGTTACTTGTGATTTGGTCTGGTCTTGCCTCAAGCTGGGAAGCTTCTTGTGTTTGTACGTCTTGCCTACCCTTGGTGAAACCATGGGTTCATCTGCAAATGTCTGGCCAACTCATGCGTTGTCAAAGATCATCTGTATGTGTGCAAAATCAGAAACAAAGTCTTGAAAGAAAAAAGCCTCTTTATAGTTTATTTACAATAAAGCTACACAGTGTTAATTTGAAAGGTAACTATTTTTAATCAGGAAGCTCATGTCATGCGTTCTCCTGTGTATTTAGTTGAAATTATCCAGTAGTAATTAGCCAGATCGATAGCATCATATGGGCCATGCTTTACCATGTTGAATAGTGGAGTTCACAAGGACAGTATTTCAATTATGTGACAAATTTTTATAGAGTGTCTAGACTGGCTTTTAAACTGATCCTAATTTTACTTGACTTAGAATGACTGTATTTAGAATAATTTATGGAACCACTTCTGAATTCCTACTTGAAAAACCTCAACATTGCTAAATGACTCTCTTATGTTGTGCAAACAACCTGGTTACTGTAAGCAACATGTAAATATTGAAAGACATATAATTTCTGTTTTATTTTTATGACTTTATCATTTGTTCAGTGTATTTTTTCTCTCCTGACTTGCTTGTCTTTGTGGATTGGAATGAAAACTTTTACTTGGATTTTTACTTGAATTTTGGAGCGAGTTTTTACTTGAAAAGTTGGCTTTGCATACTTTCCTCTCCCAGTGATAAATTTCTTAAGCTTAACTCCTTCAGAAAACTACAGTTCACTGGATTTCTGAAACTGGAGTTTACATGTTTTAAAAATTTAGATTACTTGTTCCTAGCACAGAATACAAATTTGTTTGCTTTTTTTTTCTTTCAGGAACAGCATTTTTTACTTATATATGTATTTAAAAACAATCTCAGAATAATTCATATGTATGTTTTAAGTTTCACAATCTGTCATTTCAGGCTGGATTCACGCTGTGCTCACATCTCAGGATTGTATGGCTTTTGGAGGAAACTTTTTGCACAACCTCAACATTGGCATGCAGCTCAGGTTAGTCTCAGCTCTTCCTATACTTTTTTCCTCAGTCAGTAGGATATTCTTTTCATAGAGATTTTTCTTCATATACTTAACCAGGATCAAATTGATACAGGCTCTCAAACAGACAATAGTGGCATTTACAGTTAGAATGTATCAAGCACGTTCTCTTATTTGACTTCTGCAAAGTTTCAAAAGCAAAATGAAGGTTATGCAAGAATTTGGGTGAATAAAAGGAAAAAAAAAAGGAAGAAAAAAACTCTACATTGGAGATTAGTATAAGTGAGTAAAACAAAACTTTGCAAGCCCAGGTGTGCAACCCCAAGTTAAAATGAGCGTCCTCAAGTCAGCATTGCTCTAAGGGCAGCTGTATTTAGTTTTTGTCCAAGATGTAGAGCTGTCTTCTAAACATATTGTTTTTATTTATTACAGTGGAATCCTGATAAAATTCCATCTGTTAAAAGATCACACATTGGGTTTGTATCCTAGTTTTTTGAAGTCCAACTTTATTCTTAGAAGTGCCGCAGTCAAACTTGATAAGGTCAGAGCCTGAATGAGACCAGAGTTCAATCTTGTCTGTGGTCTTGTTGGGGTTTAACTATGTGGTACTTGACTTCTTTTATTTATCATGGCCATGGCTATTTTATTTTATTTTATTTTGGACATTGTGTCAATTTGAA